GCCACCGGGCCGGCCCCTATGGATTCCACTTCTGAGAATCTACCATGAAGATATCTGTTTAACGGTTTGACAATGCATGTGCAAAAGGCTATTCATGGCAGCACTGTCATCATAACACACTGTAAACTATCTAAACGAGCTAAATGCTCAAATATAGGAGATTGCTCTCACTGGCCAAGTCTGGGATAATTTAGGCATTGGGGTAAATGAGAAAAATAATAGTTGATTGAATAAACTATGGTACGTGCATACTGTGGGGCACTGTAAACTAGTTAAAAAAAGAATGAGAAAAATCACTACGAAAGGGAGCCATTTTCAGAATATATTTTGTTTTTCTTTAATATTTATTTATTAATATTATTATTTTTTTTCATTCTAAGATGTTGTGGAGCAGTTGTGGGGGAGGTGGAAGGGGAAGCTGGAAGGAAATAGGGTGAGAGGAGTAGGAAGGAGCGGGGCTTGGTCGAGGCCCATAGCACCCCCCTCATTTTGTCAGGGGAGTTCCAGTGGCAGGTTGCAGTTGACAATGGGCTGGTTGTGGATGTCTGGGGGGCATGGCTGAGGCCCCCCCACCGCCCCAGCTCACGATCCGGGATGCTCGGTGGTTGTTGCTGGGCTGGGTGTAGTCATTGGGGGAATGTGGCTGAGGCCCATGGCTCTCCCCTCTCCCTGGCTTGGGAGCCCAGGGGGCTTGGGGTCCTCCTAGGTGTTATAGGTGTTCTTTGGTGGTGTTATAACCTTACTGGTTAATATCAGACTTTGTCTCTGGTCTGTGGGTATTTTGTTTTTTCTTTCAGTTCTTTGTTGGATAATTTGCTGTTTCTACCACTTAAACTCTGCAGTGGAACACATTTGCTGTCCTTTGTGTACTTTTAGAATGGGCAAACTTCCTGTGGACCAGCACTTGAGCCCTGTGGTTGAGCTAAATTGCTTCATTGCTGCTGATTCTCTGGGGAAGGCTTTTTGTGCAGCTCAGGTTTTGATTGTTGACCTTGTATGTACTTCCGGGTCTTGTGAGGTCAGTACTCCTGGGTTGTGTGGAAACTCTGGTCTGGGCCTGAGTCTTTTAAGCAAACTGCACCCCCTGCAGTTCTATATTCCTGACCAGTCTCCACTGAGTGGTCCTGTGCTGACTGGAGGGCAGATCAGCTGTCCTTGCTGTGCCCCAGTGTTCCCCCAGTGGGCCCGTCTCTCCTACTACCTGCAATCCAAACACTTCCCATGGGGTGGGCCATGCACCNTAGTGGTCTTGCTGGCCTGGGGGCCACCAAGGCCCTCTTCTCCCCTGCCACCTCCAAGCAATTTTGCCCAAAGGGCACAGCTGTGGCTTTTGCCAGCTCTTGCTCTGTGAAGCCTTGAAGTGGCCAGGGCCCAAAATGGGTGGAGCGGTCCTTTCTTTCTCTCATCGTGGCTTCTCCTGCCTTCATGAATTCTGTACATCTCTCCCCCTCTTCCCCTGAGCTCTAGCAGACCCAGCTTGGCTGTTCTTGCTTTTTAATAGTTGTAAATTGGTTGATTTGTGGGAGAGAGTCCAGAATATGTTTTTAAGTAAAAAATGAAAAAGAATATATGTAGTATGCCACCTTTTGTGATAGACAAAACAAGAAAACATATCTGTGTAATTTTGCAAAAAGAAACAGGAGAATAATGATACATAAGCTAATGAAAGTGGTTACCCACAAGGGATGGAGTTCAGAGGACGCGGTTGGAGGGGCCAGGGCGGGAGGGACACTTCTCTGAGGATGTCTTTCTCTACAATGACTTTTCAATTCTTATTAGTGTTTTAAATATTCGATAATATTAAATAAAATTACAAGGATGGGGAAAAACCCCAAACTAAATGCACCAGTAGCAAATAAACTGGTTTCTAATGAGCATAGTAACTTCCCTGAGGAAGTTTCTTTTAAAATTTTTTTATTGTGGCAAAACATACACAACATAAAATTTGCCATTTGAACTATTTTTTTTTTTTTTT